AGCCTTAAGTTTTGTCTGTTGAGTGTAATGGAATAAAAATGAGAAGGGTGCTGAGGAGACCAGCAAGGAAATGGTTGAAGAGACGGGGCACAGAAATTAAGCTGGATCAAAAAGGACGGAAAAGCAGAAAGGGCCGATAGAAAGAGGGGATGTCTATGGGTTCGCGGTCCTAAAAAGGACAAATCACTGGTGCTTTGAGAAGAGAGAGAGTGAGAAAGCAGGAAGGCTGGAGGCTGTCATCCAAGAGGTGGACATCTGTAAACGTGAGTCTAAGAGTCACCAGACCATGGGGGTGGCCAAAGGGAGTGTCTCTTCTCACCTCCTACTCGTAATTCCTTGTACTCAAGACAATAAGTTCCTGGAAAAGAAGTACCCATATTTAATTCATGTGTGTCTTCCTAGCAGTACTAAAAATATTATATGAAAGGTATCAAACCTTTGAGAATGTGTGATGCTAAATTGTTAAGGATGCTGGAAAACTCAGGACGTTCCTGAGCCTGAGCCTGTGGTGAGCCCAATGCGGGTCTCCATTTGGACAAAGGCCTCAGGGAACTGATGAGATCTAGGGACAGGGATGCATGCCTGAGCAGTATTCCCGATCCCCACTGCAGCTCAGGCCAGCTGACTGCTTTATGAGTAAACGTTACCAGGGAACACTTTGCAGTATTCACACACATGCCCACCTGTGACCACTGATCCCTGTAGGGTGACCACTGACATCAGAGATTCGATGGCAGCAATAAAGACAAGGCCATCCTCATTAGGAAGGAAAGGAAGGAGGAGGGAGGAGAGCAAAGGAATCTTTCCTGCTTGTCAACCACGTCCATCTCTGTTAGGTGATTTCCCATGCGTGACTTTGTTTATCTTTATAATTACTCTGAGAGTTAGGTCTTGATGTCCACATTTTGAACATGAGGACATCCAGCCAGGAAGTTGAGTAACCTCTGGGGATATAGCTGAGAGGGCAAAGCTATATCCAAGCCCCTCTTTGCTTTTTCTGGCTTATCCACTGAGTGACCCCTGGAATCCACCAGCCCATTTGTGGAGTGCATACTATAGGTAAGATGGCACAGGAGGAGTGGAAGTGGGCGATTTTGTCACAGCTCTCCAGGAACTTACACACTGGTGAGGAGGGCCAGGTATGTTCCTGACCAGTCACAGTCAAAGCAACCTCCTACTAATCAAGGAGGCTTGGTACCTAGGGAATGCTATGTTGAAAGGTTCTTTTCTGGGTTTTAAAATGACAGGTCTATTTCCTTGTTCTTAAGATTGCTTTTTTCTGACTAGAACTTAAAAGACATTTTCAGGAAAATTTCCCTTTCTTGGCACAAAGTAAGCTTGAAATGAATCTCCAGGTGGCCTTGATACTTTAAAATATTGCCTCCTATAAAATCAACCTTTAGAAGAAGGAAGTCAAAGAATATGCTAGATTTCACAGAGGCTAATTCCGTGAAATCCAGTTGTCTACAGGACAATGTTGTCAAAGAAAAAAATGATTTGGCCAGGCGCAGTGGCTCACGCCTGTAATCCCAGCACTTTGGGAGGCTGAGGTGGGCGGATCACCTGAGGTCAGGAGTTCAAGACTAGCCTGTCCAACGTGGTAAAAACCCCATCTCTACTAAAAATACAAAAAAAAAAATTAGCCAGGTATGGTGGTGGGCACCTGTAATCCCAGCTACACACGATGATGAGGCAGGAGAATCACTTGAACCCAGGAGGAGGAAGTTGCAGTGAGCCAAGTTCAAGCCACTGCACCCTAGCCTGGGCAACAGAGCAAGACTTCATCTCAAAAAAAAAAAATCAATGATATCTTTAAATTCATGGTAAGGAAGATTTTATTCAGAACCAGCACAGAAGATATAGGAACCACTGCAATGGGACTTTGCGGCAGGGGAGAGAGATTGGCCACAACTACATACACAGCACGGGCAAGGACATATTCATAGCCAGGAAGCAGAGCAAGGGTCAGTCGATGTGAAATTACTAAGAGGAAACATGAAAAAAAAGGGAGTTTCTGCCTAAACCCACCTAACAGGATCCTTGCTGAAGACAGGACAGGGTGATTGGACACAACCTTGGGGATGGTGGAGGATGGAGAATCCAGTGAGATTTTAAGGGTGATCAGATATTGAAGATAGAAGATTCTTGCTAAAAAAGGATTTTACAAGAAAGTGCACAAATGTGCCTGGGAGAAGGTTCAGGAGCCTGACTAAAATTTGGTCAAGCAGAGAATATCTGCCAAGGTAAGAGCTAAGTCCTCTGGCACATAATAGATGCTAAGCCAGCAAGGGTGACATGTGCTCAGAGAAAGCACTGAGGGCTTATTTCCTTTCCCCCCAATCTCCACTCAGTGAAGTGTAGTCCCCTTGTCAATGCAGCCATTGGTAAGAATGCAATCAGGCAGAGTCCCATCTCCTAGTGACAGGACTGACTAAGTTCTGCTGAAGAGAAGACCTGGGGCTGACACTGAGATTGCAGAGTCCTGGGTTTCACCAAGAGTGCAGTGTAGTGCCGTGCCCTCTCTCCATCTGAATGCCCATGCGGGCAGGAACAACTGCAGCTAGAAGTCCAGCACTTACGCTGGGGTCTGAGACCTGCCTGATCTGCTAACTAGTCTTGTCCCTCGGCTATAAACTGACCTTGGTAGCTGGCCAGAGAGATGAGCAAGAGATCTCTGACATCTTTAAGTCCCCGTGGAGTAGGATTCTGTTGGGGAAGGTCATTCTCTTGACTGAGCAGCAATTTCAGAAGGAAGTCTCATGCAGAAGTGAGAGAAGGTAGGGAATCCTGCCTAGTCAATTAGAGGAAAACAATCCACTGGGCGGGACCCAGGGATGTGATCCTCCCATCCAAAGGCACTCGACTAAATGACTCTAAAATACTTTCCAGGGCTCATGTTCCTTGAAGAATGGGGAGTAAAACTAAGACAGGACCAGCAAGTGAGGACTTGGAAGGAGATGGCTCATTCAATCAGCCTCCACTCAACAATTTTAATCATCCACACTGGCATGGGGACACAATATGAATAAGTTGACAGGGGCCTACTCTGATTAAGCAATGGGCTACTGCAGAGACCTGTCAGTCAAGAGTGGACAGGAGATGATTTCAGACAGTGAGAACAAAATTAACAAGAGTCATGTGCTAAAAGGTGGCTGGAACTAGGGAGGAGTTTAAGACTAGAGCGGTCTGGGGAGTTGTTTATTTTTCTTTTGTTTTTAAGACAGGGTCTTGTTTGGGCACGGTGGCTCACGCCTGTAGTCCCAGCACTTTGGAAGGCTGAGGTGGAAAGATCTCTTGAGCCCAGGAGTTTGAGGCCACTCTGGGCAACATAGCAAGACACCGTCTCTACAAAACAATGTGCAGGTTGAGGTTGCAGTGAGCAGAAACACACTGTTGCACTCTAGCCTGGGTGACAGAGCAAGACCCTGTCTCAAAAAAAAAAAAAATACAGAGTCTTGCTGTGTCATGCAGGCTGGAGTGCAATGGTGCAATCATGGCTCATTGTAGCCTGGAACTCCTGAGCTCAAGCGATTCTCCTACCTTGGCCTACCAACGTGCTAGGACTACAGGTGTGAGCCACCACACCTGGCCTCAGGAGAGATCTTAATAATGAAAGATTGCCTTGCATCCCTTAGGGGCAGGATTGACACATCCAAGATCAGGCAGAAAGCCTGCGCTGAGTGGGGTGAGCAAAGAGAAAAGCTGAGAGCTGGGAAGAGGGAGATGCAGTGCCAGCTAGGATAGGGCCTTTTAGGCTATGGGAGGCTCTCAGAGGAGACGGCACCTAAACTAACCCATGACATTGCAGTAGGGGCCTGTTGAAGTCATGGACTTCTACCTAAAAGCCAGAGAAATGGGAGGAGCCTTTCCTCTGAGGAGGGACTCTAGTCCATAGGCATCTTGCCACCAAAGACATGGACAGGCCCTGGGGGAAGATGGTGGTAGCCCAGCTGGAGGAAAACCATTTGCCACCTGAACTAGCCCAGGGTGAGCCATCCAGGCACTCAGGGTGCACACCCATGTGTGCACACACAGAATCACACTCCTTCATATTATTCCTCAATTCAGGGGCCTCAACACCCATTTTTTATTTTTGGTTTTGTTTTTTGCATGTTTACATTTTATTTATTTATTATTTTGTGACAGGGTACCACTCTGTTGCCCAGGCTGGAGCATAGTGCAGGGGTGCAATCATTATTGGATTGATGCAAAACTAATCACGGTTTTTGTCATTAAAAGTTTTGCCATTACTTTTAATGGCAAAAACCACAATTACTTTTGCACCAACCTAATAGCTCACTGCAGCCTCAAAATTCCTGGTCTCAAGGAATCCTCCTGCCTCAGCTTCCTGAATAGCTGGGACTACAGGCACATGCAATCCCACCTGGCTAATTTTTTTTTTAATTTTTTTGCAAAGATAGAAGTTCATTTTGTTGTCCAGGCTGGTTTCAAACTCTTGTCTTTGTGCCTCCCTCTGCTCCGTTCAAGACCTTCTGGATGCCCAGCTAATGAAGACTTCCAGGGAGAAGAAAGGTAAACATAGGTCCCTGAACAAGGGACCAGGGTTTATCAACCACAAACAGCATGCCCAGCTTCCACTGGCAGTCCTACAGGTTGCATTTGCCCCGAGTGTGTGTGGAAGGCCTCTCCCTAGCAGTTGGTTTATACATCCGCCACAGCATAGCATATTCTCTTAAATTGCGGACATTTGCAAACTCCTTGAGGACAACTATCGTATCTTGTGTACTTTTGTTTCCCTTCCTCTGTGTACATGCGGGTGCACACACACACACCCCCCCTGCCCCAGACTGAATGCCTGGTGTGCTGAATGGATGAATGGCTAATGGAAGTCATTCTAAAAGCTACTTTCCTTGGCATACTATCACCTTTGATTTCATCTTTCTGGAACTCCTATGTTCCCAGATGAATTTGGAAAGCCCTCAGAAAACATTTCAAAATTGCTATATAGGAGAAATGGGAGTGTCTCTCTAGAAATTTACCTGCCACAGGTATTTCTGGTAAGACACAGGAAAGATGGTACCACCCATTCCTGGTTGGAGTGTCAATGCCTGTCACCTTCCTGTCCCATAAAACTTTACTAAAGGCACAGAATTCCCATGGAAGCAGGTGGACACCATTCTGCTTCCAGCCAGCCAGGGGAGCAAGGTGTGCCTTTGTGGCAGGAACTGCGCTTCTCTGCTTTCCCACTTTGAGGCCTCTGGGGCCGGCCTGCTGCCTCCTCATTGACAAGGCTGCTTACTGAGCAGTTCATTCTGAGCTGGACGTGGTGCTTCTGGTGAGTCTCTACTTGCATTTAACCCAAAGATATTCTTTCCTAAGGAAATGCTTTCCTGTCGGGGGAGGTTAGCTCCAGCTGGAAGTCATGAGGGATGGCATGATGGCCCTCATCCATTTGATTGGATGATATTTGCAGAGCACCACCATGAGCCAGTCATGGAGATGAGCAGTATATGCCAGCCTTGAAGCGGGCGCATTAACAGCAAGGGAGACAAGCAAACAAAACACAATGAGGGAGGTTTCCTGAGGATGCTCAAGACTCACACAGCACAGAGGAAGAGTATCCACCACCCAGCTTGGGACAGGACTTGTCATAGAGAGGGTGAAGCATGAGCTGAGTCTTGAAAGACTAGAAATTAGCTAAACTACAAGGAGGAGAAGGAGTTTCCTGTCAAGAAGAACAGGTTATACAAAAGCACAGAGACTAGAAAGAATATCACATTCAAAGAACTGCAAATAGTCTGGAAAGGTTGTCACGTGGGGTAGGAGAGGAGGGCAGGGGATTCCAGGTGGGCTCAGCTTGCCACACTCAGGAGCTTGAACTTACCCACAAAGGAGGCGGGCAACCAGTAATGGGTTTTGTGCAAGGGCTTCATGTCACGAGATTTGCTTTTTGGAGATACTTCTGTGGCTGATGTGTGAGGAAGGGATGGATGAAGTTTCCATGGCAATCAGGAAAACCAATTAGCAGATGATTCAAATGGCCTAGGGGAAAAGGGAGGAGGACTTGAACTACTGTGCAGTAGTAGAAATGGAGAGAAATAACAGATCCCAGGCACTCAAGGAGCACTCAAACTGAGCCCTTCAAAGAACCTATGGTAGGTGATAGTTGGATAGAGTGTGAGTCCTGGGGTAGCATTGTCTGGGAAAATACTTTCTGGTTGAAACAGGGAAGTGGGTCAGCAGAAATGGAGGGCTTCTACTTTTTACTTTAAATACTTTTATAATATTTGGAACTTTGAAAATGAGCAGATATATTAGCAAAAAGCCTAAAAGGGATATTTTTGAAATCCCTACTAGTTCTAACATACAACTTTCAGCTTGCACACACCATCAATTACCTTTGATAGCACCTTTTTGGAACTATCATCCCAAATAACAGTCCTTGTAAAAACCTATTTTGAAAAACGGGCCTTGTACAATAGCCTCATAGATGCTTCGTGGTAGATTTTCTAACATTCTAATGTCAGGGAGTGAAAGGAATCCTGTTAGAAGTTGGTAAATTCTGTAATTTCTATTCATGGTATTAAAGTTTTGCCTTCACACAAAAGTTTAACACCTTTACACAATCAGACTTCCTCATTTTACATTGCTCAGTGATTAGAGGAAATCAGCCACCCAGAGCCTGGATCTTAGACTTGACCAAGGCACCCAACAAATCCTGAGTGGCCTTGCTAAGAACTTCTTCTCCCAGAAGACAGAAAATTCAGTTCCAGCCAAGAAGGGGGAAGCAGTTGAAGAAGTGAAATTAACAAAGTCCTGGAAGGAAATGACCAAATCATCTTCGATTGTGTAATAACCAGAGAGTAGAATACAGACATTTTGGGAGAGAAGCATTTTATCATAGCTTTTAGAAGAGAAGTATTTTTCAGCATCATAAACACACAATTCCAAGCATAGATACCTTCAAGGGATTGTTTTTGACAGTTATGGCAAAGTCGTAAGGAAGAATAAAAGGACAAAGGAAATCCTCCAGCAACAAAGCTGCCACTTGTAGATGAGAAAGTGAACAGGAATAAGGAAGAAGCTCAGAAAAGGGAAGAGCGATCACTAAAAATGCTGATTTGGAAAGTCCCAGTGCTACCCTGAGAGGAGAAACAAATTCACACAGCACGTCACCGCCAGAAGAATAAAGGAGGGAAGATAGGGGAACAGAGAGTATCCCAATCCTAAAAGGACAATGTGGAAACACTTAGGGGCAGAGGCGAATCTGCCAGGCCAATGTAGTTTAGAATGTCATTCGATCACTGAGAATGAAAAAGGAGTCTGCCGATGGGCACTGTGTGGACAGGAGGAGACGGGGCAATAAACATTTGTAACAATTAAAAGTGAGAAATAAAGATCTAGTTTGGGTTCAATTAGCCCATGTTTGAGACATAGTTCCACCATTTACTGTTTGTGTGGTCTTAAATAAGTTATTGTCTCAATCTCAGTTTTTGCATAGGTCAAATGGTTCAATATTATCTACTTTAAAGGTCATTATGAAGAGTTAATAAGATAATGAGGAAAAAAGGTACCTGGCACTTAGTAGGTGCTCAATAAAGGATGGCTTTTTTTTAAGTATTGCTTCTAAATTTGTATGTAAGAAAAAAATGATATAATACAATGATATAAGACAGGGGCTCGCAGGACAAGTCCAGCCACACCCATTCATTTATATATTATCTGACTGCTTTTCTGAAACAATGCAAGGTTGAGTAGTTGTACCTGAAACATTTATTATCTGGCCCTTTACAGAAAATGTTTCCAGACACTGGATAAGTGGTACCAGAGCCCCCTCTGTTTGTGGTCCCCTCTCTTATACCCATTAGGTGTGAGAAAAGACATAGAGTAGGAAAGCCCTGCCATCCATCTTATCCACACAGGGGCTTTTTCGATGGATCCAAAGGAAAGACAAGGTCTTATTGGCCTCCCAGAACTGGCATAACAACTCAGACATCAGGGAAAAGTCATTGGAGACCACATAGCTCACCAGCCCCAGCCACCTGCTCATATATCTAAGCCCTCCTTGTTCTAGACCAGGGAGGAGAATGGAATGTCTGTTGGACTCTGCATGTCCCCAGTCTGAGAACCTGGATCCAAGAGGGAGAAGAGGCCCATTGGAGATGATGCCATAAAAGGAAGTGGATGCAATATGCTAAAAATCATAGTGCCTATACCCAAAAAATCCCAGAAGCAGAAGGGAAAGGAGAGAAATATCCACAGAGACAGGTGTGGGTACACACAACACGTTTCATACTTTAAGATCCCAGAGGGATTTATGGAAATGATAAAAGAAAATGAGACTCATAAGAACAATGTTGGAAGCCAGTGCCAAGAATGAGATGGGGCTTGGGGAAAATGGTGGGGGCAGATTGTTTAGTTCCGTTCTAAACAAGAGGGTGAACAAGGAATGAACAGCTCACTGCAAAGAATAGACACCACTACATGTACACACGATTATATAGTAACTAACCCATGATTATTTTGCTTGTCTTCTTGTTCAAAATGATCGAAGACCAATGAGATGAGATCAACCTTGATAACTGGCTGGGAAGCCCATGATGAGACACAAGATGGTACCAGGGCACTTGCTGCTTTGAATAAATGTCAGTCCCCTGTCTTGGAAGAATGACCTGCCAGGGTAAAAAGGAACTTGCAGCTGAGAAAGGCTTTAGTGACTCAAGAGTTGAATAATTCCCCAAAAGCTGGAGCATCCTGGCATTTCCAGCTCCCCATCTCTGCTTGTTCCACTTCCATGAGGCTACATCACCATCTACATCATCATCACTCTTCCACTCCCTCCCTTAGTGCCAATTATGTCTATAGCGAGATATTTTCTGCCCATTGGGGATCAGAAGGAAGTGCTGTGGCCTGAGCGGTCTCCTTGGGAAGACAGGATCTGATACACACATTGCACAACCTGTCTGTTTGACATAAGAGGTTTCACTTCCTGAGATGGATGGGATGATAGCAGGTTTGGGTCCAGCTTACAGGGCCAGGATGAGACATGGCAGAACTGTGGAGACTGTTACGTCAGGGGGCATTGCCCCGTGGCTCCAAAATTTCCCTTGAGTGAAAGCATCAGGGGCTCATGCAACCTGGATACTAGTGCTGCTTCAACCACACTGTGACATTGGATGAGTCACTTCATCCCTCCTAGCCTTGATTTCTTCATCTGCTGTTCACATTCAAATAGCTATTCATGTCTTCATCTCTGTGGTCCCACTAGATCCCACCGGACAATCATTAGGGCTCCCCTCAGCTGGCAGATTCTGAGGTCCTGGATGCTACAATTGGAAGATGGAGAAGTAGAAGCTCAAGGTTTCTGACCTGTATCCCAAGTCCCAGAAGTAGAATGGACTAACTCAGAGTTGATGCTCTGGTCCCTTGCATATCTCCCTTCCTGTCACTGGCTTTGATCCTCCTTTGCTCAGCTTATAATCACATCAACAGACCAAGGACATCTCTGTGTTCTGTCAGGAGAGTCCACAGAGCCACCAGCCCTCCAGACCCTGCTGGTTGCTGCATAAAGACTTGAGGAAGGATTTGAGGCAGCCGTGATCGTGCAATGAATGCATGAGTGCACCACTGCACTCCAGCCTGGGGAAAAAGCTAGATCCTGTCTAGGAGAGAGAGAGAGAGAGAGAAAGAGAAAGAGAGAGAGAGAAGGGAGGGAGAGACAGAGAAAAAGAGAGAGAGGGAGGGAGGGAGAAAGAAGGAGAGAGAGAAAAGAAAAGAAAGAAAGAAAGAAAGAAAGAAAGAAAGAAAGAAAGAAAGAAAGAAAGAAAGAAAGAAAGAAAGAAAGAAAGAAAGAAAGAAAGAAAGAAAAGAGACTCTGAGAAAGGTGGTAGTTCCTACAATGGGGGAACCAGTGGTTAATTTGCAAAGTGGATCCTGTGGTGGCAAAACAGAGGAGTCCCCTAGGCCACCCAGAGAGGGTCTTTAGCTATCTGCAGGACCAGATACCAAATTTCATTAGGGCTCAGTGTTAGGAATGGATTATTGCTTATCGAATTTACAGGAAACTAACATGTTGAACAGCTTTTAGATTTCCTGTGGAAAATATAACTTTCTAAAGATGGAGTTCTTGTGACTGCCTCCTGATATCAAGATACTGGGAGCCAAATTAAAACTCAGAAGGCTGCTTGGTGAGCAAGTCCATGAAATGCTCTTTGTCCCACAGTAGAGCCTATTTCCCTCGTGCCTCAAATACCTGCACAAGGGCTCACTCCCTTGGATAAAGCAGAGCGAGCACGATACCTGGCACATACTAATTTGAATAAAAATGCTGTCAAATTCCCATTCACCCATTCAAGCAGCAAACTCTACCACCTGAATGTACCTGCCAGGCACTGTGCTAGACTTGGCTCAAAAAGATTTCATAGCTTCCCGGAGCAGCCAGAACGGGGAGCAAGGTTTCAATTCAGTGCTGTAAGTGCTATAAGAAGTGTTACAGGCCGGGCGCAGTGGCTCATGCCTGTAATCCCAACACTTTGGGAGACCGAAGCGGGCGGATCACAAGGTCAGGAGATCGAGACCATCCTGGCTAACATGGTGAAACCCCGTCTCTACTAAAAATACGAAAAATTAGCTGGGTGTGGTGGTGGGTGCCCGTAGTCCCAGCTGCTGGGGAGGCTGAGGCAGGAGAATGGCGTGAACCCAGGAGGCCGAGCTTGCAGTGAGCCAAGATCACGCCACTCCACTCCAGCATGGGTGACAGAGTGAGACTCTGTCTCAGAAAAAAAAGAAAAAAAGAAAAAAAAGAAGTGTTACAATGCAGACCTGTCAAGGAGGAAAAGGAGGGTGTTCCTAGACTCCAGGCACTGTTCATAACCTGGACTCTCATTCATTCTACAAATGGAAGGCTCCCCTGGGCAGTACCCTGGAGCAGGCACTTAGCTGGTGTCTCGGTTAAAGAGAAACTGATAACTCTTGGTATTACCAAGAGATAGAGTCTCAGATGGATATCCTTACAGAAACAATATTCCACTTTTCAGAGTTCACCAAAAAATCATTTTAGGCAGAGATCATCTGGCACTGATCAGGTTGGCTAGGGTAACAGCACCTGGTCTTGCAGGGTTGTGTGAGCTTATCTCCAGGGTTGCCCCAACTCTATCAGGAGCCTGAACCCTGCATACTGTATGTTCCCTGCCCCATCCAAGAAAGGTCAAGTGTCTCCCCAGAGGCTCCTGCAATTGACAGAGAGCTCCTGAGGCAGAGAACAGCACCCAAGGTAGAGACCCCTACCCTCAATCCAGACAGGGAGGGCTACTGCCCCTTCATTGTACCCATTTATCCATCTCTAAGTGGGAACATTCCTAAACTTAAGTACAAAGAAGTGAATGAAGAAAAGTATTTGCATGGATAAATCTGTGTGTCTTCCACTTTGTCCCAGATGTCCTAAATTTAAACATTCTTCTAACCTAGGAAAATCCAGTATTTTAATGTGGACATCAACTGCACAATGGCTGTCAGAAAAACAATGCGTATTTGCATAGTGATACATTTGCAAAATGTGTCATAGTTTGCTCCTTGCCCTTCCACGAACCAGAGAATTATTTCAGTTTATTAGTCCCCTCCCCTAGTAGCTTCCACCAATACTCTTTTCTTTTCCCCTTTCCTTTAACTTGATTGTGAAATCAGGTATTCAACAGAGAAATTTCTCAGACCCCTACTTCTGCTTTTGAAAGCCATAAAACAGCGAGGGAGAAACTGGCAGACAGCAAACCTCTTCGAGGCAGAAGGCACAACAGACTGCTCTGGGATCCTCCTCAGCAATCTTCATTGCTCAAGTATGACTTTAATTCTTCCTTACAACTAGGTGCTAAGGGAGTCTCTCTGTCTCTCTCCCTCTTTGTGTGTATCTCTTTCTCTCTCTCTCTCTCCCCACCCCCCCATCCTCCCTCTTTTCCTCCCTCCCTCTCTGCCTCCCTCTCTCAGCTTTTTGCAGAAATGCCAGGTGTAATATAATGCTTATGACTGGGGAAATATTCTGGGAATGAATACTGCTTATCTAGCAGCTGACACCCTAAAGGTTAGCGTCGAAACCTCTGCTCCAGCTCTCCTAGCAAATACATTGCTAGCTGGGGTTTGGTTTAGTAAATGCTTTTCTCTACACCCAAAGGACTTCTCTTTCACACATTCATTCATTCACTCAGAGATCACTTATTTGCATGCCTGCCACGTACTGGATGCTGAGAGAAATCACACGTGAATGTAGCCGTCATGGGGAAGTCACTCATTTTCTCCTTTTTACACAGGTGTCTGAAGTAGCCATGGCAGAAGTACCTGAACTCGCCAGTGAAATGATGGCTTACTACAGGTCAGTGGGGACACTGAGACAAGTCACATGAGCAGGGCTCCTCTTTCAAGAGTAGAGTGTTATCTGTGCTTGGAGACAATATTTTCCCCCTAAATTGCCTCTTTCAGTGGCAAACAGGGTTCCAAGTAAACCTGGTTGAAACACTACTTTCCCATTATAAGTCCCTCCAGCCTTGGGGCCTGGAGGCTATCCAGAAGTGTTGTTGCAAGGGCCTCCTGCACAGGCAAATGGGGAGAAAAGATTCCAAGCTGACAATACAAGGAACCCCTTTGCAAAGTGTGGCTTGGAGGGAGAAGGAGAGCTCAGATTTTAGCTGACTCTGCTGGGCTAGAGGTTAGGCCTCAAGATCCAACAGGGAGCCCCCAGGGTGCCCACCTGCCAGGCCTAGAATCTGCCTTCTAGACTGTTCTGCGCATATCACTGTGGAACTTGCCAGGTGTTTTCAGGCAGCTTTGAGAGACAGGCTGTTTGCAGTTTCTTATGAACAGTCAAGTCTTGTACACAGGGAAGGAAAAATAAACCTGTTTAGAAGATATAATTGAGACATGTCCCTGTTTTTATTACAGCGGCAACGAGGATGACTTGTTCTTTGACGTCGATGGCCCTAAACAGATGAAGGTAAGACTGTGGGTTTAGCTCCCAACCCAACGAAGGGCTCTAACACAGGGAAAGCTCAAAGAAAAGAGTGCTGAGCCACTTTGATGCCATGGCATTTTGTTTTAGAACAACTTTAACCTCTTCCAGTGAGACACAGGACGCACCACTTGCTGACCTGGCCACCTGGTCACCGCATCATCATAGTCACTCACTAACAGTGGTGGTGGTGGCCACACTTGGTGGTGACAGGGAAGGAGTAGTGTTAAGGCTTCCCATTTCGTAGTAGGAAGACAGCCAAGTCTTCAACACAAATTTGATTCTCCTTTTAGGAGATGGGTTCAGCCTATGCCAATCACTTGAGTTAAACTCTGAAATCAAGAGATGATCTTGAGAACTAACATATGTCTACCCCTTTTGAGTAGAATAGTTTTTTGCTCCATGGGGTGAAGCTTATAGCAACAAGACATAGATGATGTAAACAAAAAGATTAATTGAGACTTGAAAGAAAACCATTCACTTGCTGTGTGACCTTGACAAGTCATTTTACCCTCTTTGGACCTCATCTGAAAAATAAAGGGCTGAGCTGGATGATCTCTGAGATGCCAGCATCCAACCTTCAGTTCTGAAATATTTTCAGTTGTAGCTAAGGGCATTTGGGCAGCAAATGAGCATTTTTCAGACTCATCCTTACAGAGAGCCATGTTATATTCCTGCCGTCCCTTCTGTTTTATATGATGCTCGGTAACCTTTCTAGGTGGCCCAGCCATCAGCCTATATAGGGCAGTTGTGCAGGTTAGGAGGCAGCCACTTTTCTCTGGCTTTATTTTATTCCAGTTTGTGACAGCCTCCCCTAGCCTCATAATCCAGTCCTCAGTCTTGTTAAAAACACATTTCTTTAAAAGTCCTAAGACTGGCATAACTGGTTGGCTCCAGCTGTAGGAGGAGCCCATTGGCTTGTCTGCCTGGCCTTTGCCCCCATTGCCTTTTCCAGCAGCTTGGCTCTGCTCCAGGCAGGAAATTCTCTCCTGCTCACTTCCATTTGTGCACTTAGAGGTCTCTTTAACTGTCTTTCAAGCCTCAGGCATTATCATGCCTTGAGGCAACCTCAGTTAAGACTTAATACTGAGCTTCTCTGAATAAGAGGAAAGTGGTAATATTTCACAAAAAGTAACTACTCTTACAGGATTTGCAGAATGCCTATGAGACAGTGTTATGAAAAAGAAAAAAAAGGAATGGCGTAGAAAAACTGAATACTTGCTGAGTGAGCATAGGTGAATGGAAAATGTGATGGTCATCAGCATGATAAAGCAAATCATAGTGTCACAGCATTAGGGATACAAAAAGATATAGAAAAGGTACACATGTATGGTGTAGGTGGGGCATGTACAAAAAAGATGAACAAGGTAGAAATGGGATTTATTCTAAAAGAATAGCCTGTAAGGTGAGAGAAAGCTCACATTCTAGTCCTGAGTCTGCCTCTAACCTGCCATGTGCTCTTGAGTACACCCTTAACCTCCTTGAGCTTCAGAGAGGGATCATCTTTTTATTTTATTTTATTATTTTTATTTTATTTTATTTTATTTTATGACACGGAGTCTCACTCTGTTGCCCAGGCTGGAGGGCAATGGTACAATCTCGGCTTACTGCAAACTCCGCCTCCCAAGTTCAAGCGATTCTCGTGCCTCAGTCTCTTGAATAGTTGGGATTACAGGTGTGCCCCACCACACCCAGCTAATTTTTGTATTTTTAGTAGAGAAGGGGTTTCACCATGTTGGCCAGGCTGGTTTTGAACTCCTGACCTCAAATGATTCGCCCACCTTGGCCTCCCAAAGTGCTTGGATTATAGGCATGAGCCACCACGCCTGGCCCAGAGAGGGATGATCTTCAGAAGCTCAGGATTCTTTCAATCCCCTTCCTCCTCTCTGAGCTTTGTCCTCTCTGATGTCAAAGCACGGTTCCTGGCAGGACCACCTCACCAGGTTCCCTCCCTCACTCTCTCTGCAGTGCTCCTTCCAGGATCTAGACCTCTGCCCTCTGGATGGTGGCATCCAGCTACAAATCTCCCACGAGCACTACAACGAGGGCTTCCGGCAGGCCGTGTCAGTTGTTGTAGCCATGGAGAAGCTAAGGAAGATGCTGGTTCCCTGCCCACAGATCTTCCAGGACAATGACCTGAGCACCTTGATTCCCTTCATCTTTGAAGAAGGTACTTAGCCAAGAGCAGGCAGTAGATCTCCACTTGTGTCCTCTTGGAAGTCATCATGCACCAGCCAACTCAATTCCCCCAGAGCCGAAGCCTTTTAAAGGTAGAAGGCCCAGCAGGGAGAAAAAACAAAGAAGGCTGGAAACCAAAGCAATCATCTATTTAGTGGAAACTATTATTAAAGAAGATCTTGATTGCTACTGACATTTGCAACTCCCTCACTCTTTCTCAGGGGCCTTTCACTTACATTGTCACCACGATGTTCAGATGTTGGTAACCTCCCTGTGGGCTAGTGGTATGACCATCACCATTTTACCTGAGTAGCTCTGTTGCTCGTCCACAGTGAGCAGTAAAAGAGCTGAAGCTGGAACCCATGTCTAATAGTGTCAGGTCCAGTGTTCTTAGTCACCCCACTCCCGGCTTCGTCCTCACCGGTGTTGTCATCAGACTTTGACTGTATATGCTCAGGTGTCCTCCAAGAAATCAATTCTGCTGCCTCACCTCACGAGGCCTGCCCTTCTGATTTTATACCTAAACAACATGTGCTCCACATTTCAGAACCTGTCTTCCTCGACACACGCAATAACGACGCTTGTGTGCATGATGCACCTGTACGATCACTGCACTGCACACTCCGGGATGCACAGCTCAAAAGCTTGGTGATGTCTGGTCCATATGAACTGAAAGCTCTCCACCTCCAGGGACAGGATCTGGAGCAACAAGGTAAATGGAAACATCCTGGTTTCCCTGCCTGGCCTCCTGGCAGCTTGCTAATTCTCCATGTTTTAAACAAAGTAGAAAGTGAATTTAAGGCAAATGATCAACACAAGTGAAAAGAAACATTAAAAAAGAATATACAAACTTTGGTCCTAGAAATGGCACATTTGATTGCACTGGCCAGTGCATTTGTCAACAGGAGTGTGACCCTGAGAAATTAGACGGCTCAAGCACTCCCAGGACCATGTCCACCCAAGTCTCTTGGGCATAGTGCAATGTCAATTCTTCCACAATATGGTGTCATTTGATGGACAAGGCCTAACTGCCTGTGGGTTCTCTCTTCCTGTTGTTGAGGCTGAAACAAGAGTGCTGGAGCGATAATGTGTCCATCCCCCTCCCCAGCCTTGCCCCCTTGCCCCAACATCCGTCCCACCCAATGCCAGGTGGTTCCTTGTAGGGAAATTTTACTGCCCAGCAGGAACTTATATCTCTCCGCTATAACTGGCAAATGTTTCAAGTGCGGTGAGCCCATCATGAGCTGTGGTGATCTTCCTGGCATCGTGCCACAGTAGCCAAAGCCTGTGCACAGAGGTGTGGGCAACTAAGGCTGCTGACCTTGAAAGGCAGCCTCACTCAGGGCGAAGCTATTTGCTCTCAGCCAGGCCAAGAAAATCCTGTTTCTTCGGAATCGGGTAGTAAGAGTGATCCCAGGGCCTCCAACTGACACTGCTGTGACTGAGGAAGATCAAAATGAGTGTCTCTCTTTGGAGCCACTTTCCCAGCTCAGCCTCTCCTCTCCCAGTTTCTTCCCACGGGCTACTCTCTGTTCCTGAAACAGTTCTGGTGCCTGATTTCCGGCAGAAGTACAGCTTCACCTCTTTCCTTGCCTTGCACATTGATCAAGTCGTACTGCTCCTGTGGATGCGCACATTGCCAGCCAGTGACACAATGGCTTCCTTCCTTCCTTCCTTCAGCATTTAAGACGCAGACCCTCTTTCATTCTCCATTTCCACTTCTATGAGGCTCTGAGAAACCCTCAGGCCTTTGAGGGGAAACCCTAAATCAATGAAATGACCCTGCTATTGTCTGTGAGAAGTCAAGTTATCCTGTCTCTTAGGCCAAGGAACCTCACTGTGGGTTCCCACAGAGGATACCAAATTACATGTGTCCTACTCATGGGGCCCAGGGGTTGGGCTGACCCTGCACTGCTGTGTCCCTAACCACAAGACCCCCTTCTTTCTTCAGTGGTGTTCTCCATGTCCTTTGTACAAGGAGAAGAAAGTAATGACAAAATACCTGTGGCCTTGGGCCTCAAGGCAAAGAATCTGTACCTGTCCTGTGTGTTGAAAGATGATAAGCCCACGCTACAGCTGGAGGTAAGTGAATGCTATGGAATGAAGCCCTTCTCAGTCTCCAGCTATCACTTATAACCACCTTCTATCACTCACAACCACCTTCTCCCCGCCCCCATCCCTAGGAAAAGCTGGGAACAGGTCTATTTGACAATGTTGCATTAATGTAAATAAATTTAACATAATTTTTAAGTGCATGCAACTTTCAATCCTGCTGCAGAAAATTAAATCATTTTTCTGATGTTATCGTATCCTACCATAGTTATGACCCCAACAGATTATATATTGTCAGGGCTGCTCTCATTTGATAGACACTTTGGGAAATAAATGACTTAAAGGATCCCATTGTCACATCCTCTCCACTCCCAAAATCACCACCACTATCACCTCCAGCTTTCCCAGCAAAAGCTACATTTCCAAGTTGATGTCATTCTAGGACCATAGGGAAAAATACAGTAAAAAGCCCCTGGAAAATAGGTACTTCAAGAAGCTCTAGCCTAATTTTCACTTAAAAAAAAATTCACCTACATTATGCTCCTCAGCATTTGGCACTAAGCTTTAGAAAAGAAGAAGAGCTCTTTTAGTAACCACACAGAAAGTTGGGGGCCCAGTTCTAACTCAGGAGTCCTGATCCTGTGACCCGCTCATCAGTTTCCTCTCTGGCCAACCCAAAGAACATCTTTCCCATGGCATCTTTGTCCCTTGCCTCACAAAAATTCTTCTTTCTCTTTTGCTGCAGAGTGTAGATCCCAAAAACTACCCAAAGAAGAAGATGGAAAAGCGATTTGTCTTCAACAAGATAGAAATCAATAACAAGCTGGAATTCGAGTCTGCCCAATTCCCCAACTGGTACATCAGCACCTCTCAAGCGGAAAACATGCCCGTCTTCCTGGGAGGGACCAGAGGTGGCCAGGATATAACTGACTTCACCATGCAATTTGTGTCTTGAGGGCTGTACCCAGAAGGTCCTGTGCTGAATGTCGACTCAATCCATAGGACGGGCAGAAAGGGAACAGAAAGGTTTTGAGTGTGGCTAGAGCCTGGACTTCCCTGTTGTCTACACCAGTGCCCAACTGCCTGCCTTAGGATAGTGCTAAGAAGATCTCCTGTCCATCAGCCAGGACAGTCAGCTCCCTCCTTTCAGGGCCAATCCTCAGCCCCTTTGTTGAGCCAGGCCTCTCTTACCTCTCCCACTCACTTAAGCCCACCTGACAGAAACCATGGCCACATGTGGTTCTAAGAAACCCTCTGTTCTTTGCTCCCACATTCTGATGAGCAACTGCTTCCCTATTTATTTATTTGTTTATTTTATTGATTGTTCTATTTAATTTATTCAAGGGGGGCAAGAAATAGCAGTGTCTGTAATAGAGCCCAGTTTTTATAGCTATTCAATTCAACCTGGACTGGTGAGCTCTCTTTAAATCAAGTCCTTTACTTAAGACTGCAAATATATAAGCTTAGATTATTTAAATGGGAATATTTATAAATGAGCAAATATGACCATACTATTCAATGGTTCTGAAATAAACTTCACTGTTAAAAAAAAAAAAAAAAAGGTCTTTCCTGATCATTGACTTGTCTTGGATTTGACCCTGAACAGTAAAGATAAACAGGGCTGTGAGAGTTCTTGGGGGAATAGAAGCCCACTCCCTATTGCTGAGTGCTGCAAAGTACCTAGAAACATCCTTGGCCACCGAAGACTATCCTCCTCACCCATCCCCTTTATTTCTGGTGTTCAACAAAAGGATATTCAGTGCACATCTGGAACAGGATCAGCTGAAGCGCTGCAGGGAGTCAGGATTGGTAGTAACAGCTACCAGTGATTTCTCTGCCAATGCACCAAACATCTGTTGAGCAAGGGCTATGTACTAGGAGCTGGGAGTGCAGAGACAAGAAGGGTAACAAGTTCCTCCTCAGGAGAGGCAGATAGGTACAAGCAACAACAAGGCAACATGACAAGTAGAGTAAGATAAAATACAAAAGGAGTATCCAGGAAGGAGTGAGGAGAGTGACATAAGAATCTTGCCATCTTGCCTAAAGGGATAAACAGAAAATTTCCCCACATGGGCCGGGCAAAGTGGCTTATGCCTGTAATCCCAGCACTTTGGGTGGCAGAGGCAGGAAGATCGCTTGAGCCCAGGAGTTCAAGACCAGCCTGGACAACATAGTAAGACCCCCATCTCTACAAAAAAATAAATAAAACAATCTGCTAGGCATGCTGGCATGCACCTGTAGTCCTAGCTAGTTGGGAAGCTGACACTAGAGGATTGCTTGAGCCCAGAAGTTCAAGATTGCAGTGAGCTATGATCATACCACTGCACTCCAGCCTGGGTGACAGAGTGAGACCCCATCTCTAAAAAATGTTTCCAGATAGAAAAGAAAAGAAAACAAAAGGCCCTCAGGTAGAAGAACCAGCATGAACAAGGACATGGGGGTATAAGAATGAATGATGGAAAAAGTACACTTTCCGAATTGTAGGAATCACCAGAAGCAAAGTCAAAGCACAAAATGAGCCAGGGGAAAAGTATTTGCAACTCACATCCTAGGTAAGGAGACAATTTGCTTCACATGTAAAGAACTGCCTCAAAACATTAGGAAAAAAAGAACAAAACTCCAGCAAAACAAGAGGCAAGGGATCTTCACAGTCTGTTCACAGAAAAGAAAATACTATTTGATCTTGGGCAGAGTAAAACAATTTGATCTTGGGCAGAAAAAAACCAACGCTTAACATTGTAATAAGAAAGTCAAATTAAAAGCACTTTGAGATACTAGTATTTTCCCATCAGATTGACAAAGATCAAAAGTTTAACAAGAGACCTTGTTGGTTAAACTGCCAGGAAATCCCCGCTGTTAAATATTACATGTGGGACTATAAATTGATATGACCCTTACAGAACAAAATTTGCTAACTATGAAAATCACAAGTGCACTTCCCCTTTGATCCAGCAATTTCACTCCTGGAGATTTATCCTACAGATGGACATAACCCATGTGAAATGAAAAACGATCAAAATTATTCATTGCACATGATTTGTAATAGGAAAAATTGGAAGTAACCCAAGTGTCTATCAACAAGAGACTGGCTAAATGAAGTAAAAGATATAGAATATTAGACAGCTATAGAAAAGAATGAGAAAGCACTCTGGTATTGTTTGGATCTGTGTCCCAGCCCAAATCTCATGTGAAATTGTAATCTCCGATGTTGGAGGCAGGGCCTAGTGTGGGGTGATTGGACCACAGGCGTGGAGTTCTTATGAATGGTTTAACACTATCCCTTTGGTCCTGTTCTCATGATAGAGTTCTCCCAAGATCTGGTTGTTTAAAAGTATGTGGCATCCTTTCTCTCTCTCTCTCTCTCTCTCTCTCTCTCTCTCTCTCTCAGTCCTGCTCCTGCCATGTAAGACACCCACTCCCGTTTTGCCTTCTGCATGAGTAAAAGCTTCCGAAGGCCTCCCCAGAAGCAGATGCTGCCATGCTTCCTGTGGAACAGCCTGTGAAGCTGTGAGCCAATTAAACTTCTTTTCTTTATAAATTACCCAGTCTCAGGTATTTCCTCATAGCAGTGCAAGGACTGACTAATACACGCTGTCTGCACGAATATGAAATCCTCTCCAAGACATGCTGATAGCTGAAAAAGAACAAGATGCAGACCGTATTTATGATATACTAACTCTGATGTAACAAAAGGGAGGGGAAGAAGGGCAATACATTCTACTGTGTGTGTATTTTATTTTTTTTAATTCTGGAAGATACATAAAAAATGAATAAAGTAGTTGTCAGAGGCTGAGGAATAAGATATATAGGGACAGGTGTGGGAGCAAGACACTTTTATGAACACATTTTATACAGTTTGGGAGGTTTTTTTTGTTTTTTCTTTTCTTTATTTTTTTTTTTATTTTTTATTTTTTTTTTTTTGAGACAAGGTCTTGCTGTCACCCAGGCTGGAGAGCAGTGGTACAGTCATGGCTCACTGCAGCCTTAAAACTCCCACGCTCAAGCAATCCTCCTACCTTAGCCTCCTGAGCAGCTGGGACTACAAGCATATGATACTATATTAGTCCATTCTCACACTGCTATAAAGAATGACCTGAGACTGGGTAATTTACGAAGAAAAGAGGTCTAACCGATTCACAGTTCTATAGGCTGTATAGGAAGCATGGCTGGAAGGCTTCAGGAAACTTACAATCATGGCAGAAGACAAAGGGGAAACACGCACGTCTTCCTGTGGCGGAGCAGGAGAGAGAGAGAGAGTGAAGGGGAAGGTGCTACACACTTTAAAACAAACAGGTCTTGTGAGAACTCACTCACTATCATGAGAACAGCAAGAGAGAAACCACCCCCATGATCCAATCACCTCCCACCAGGACCCTCCCTCAACATTGAGAATTAAAATTCAACACGAGATTTGAGTTGGGTCACAGAGCCAGACCATATCATCCGCCATGCCCAGCTAATTTTGCTTTTTAACTTTTTGTAAACACAGGGTCTCACTATGTTGCCCAGGCCGGTCTTGAACTCCTGGGCTCAAGTGATCCTCCCGCCTCAGCCTCCCAAATTGCTAGGATTACAGGCATGAGGAGCCATGCCTGGTCTACAATTTGACTTTTCAATCATGTAAATATATTATTCAGAAATAAAATAATAATTTTTAAAGATTTTATCCAAGAAAAAAATATCTGAAATGAAAGACAACTGTTGAGTTGAGGGAGCTGCTAGTCCTCAGCAGCTCAACCTCAATATCCTCCTTCTTTGTCTGTAGGGACAGGCTGTGGTTTATCCTATAGGCGTGGGCTGGAGTCAGCAAGCACCTGGGCTGGCAGAAGACAAAAGATGCAAAGGTGAGGGAAAGCAAACGTGGCCTGGAAGACAGACTTGGGGGGTGGGTGGCTGCTACCACACCCTGGTCAGAGGTAGAGGGGTAAGTCAGCGTGTCTTCTGCACAGACCTCTTCCCCACCTCCTTCTTCATTTCCCATACAGCCTTGCTGAGTTACTCACAAACATCTGATTCAACTGGAAGCTGGCGTGAGGATGACCTAAAGGACTGGTGTGATGCCTGCCCGGGGCTGTGGGCCATAGTCATAGCCCAGAGCCTCCTCCTAGCTTTTAGCACATCTCACCCACATCCTGGGTCCTTAATTAGCAATATGGAGGCAAGCCAAGTGATAAGATTGCATCCCTGGGAAGTCCAGAAGCACTCCTTTTCTCATTTGTATAAGCATAATGATTTGCTTACATAAATAATCATGAAAATTCAGGCCGGGCGCAGTGGTTCGCGCCTGTAATCCCAGCACTAGGGAGACCGAGGCGGGCAGATCACAAGGGCAGGAGATCGAGACCATCCTGGCTAACATGGTGAAACCCTGTCTCTACTAAAAATACAAAAAAATTAGCTGGGCATGGTGGCGGGCACCTGTAGTCCCAGCTACTCGGGAGGCTGAGGCAGGAGAATGGTGTGAACCCAGGAGGTGGAGCTTGCAGTGAGCCGAGATCAGGCCACTGCCCTCCAGCCTGGGCAACAGAGCGTGACTCCGTCTCAAAAAAAGAAAAAAAAAGAAAATTCAAATCCCTCTCAGAAAGCAGGTCATAAAACCATGAAATGCAGCATGTGGGCCAGAATCACAGGGAAAGGTAGGTCTTGGAGGGGAAAGGATGGCAGGGAGGAAGAAAGCAGGGTGCCAGGGACCCTGGGTTGCTGTCCAAGTCAGGCAGCTCACTGTATTTGAGAACATTTCACTTTCTGGTAAACGGGGCAGTTGGAGATAGAAGGGTTGGATGAATGCCAAGAGTGAACACAGCTGAGATCAGTGCTGTGCCTGCAGTCCAGGCTGGAGTAGAAATCCTGGGCCCATCTTACCTCTGACCTCATTTCCTCCTCTGTAATAATGCGAGGGTGGGGGAAAGTTCTGGTTATCAGCCCTAGCATTCCATGGTTCATTTCCTCATCA